AGTGTAAGTAATGAAACATCCACAGGGAAGAGAGCAGCACTCCTGAGTCTGGAACTGGATTTTTGCTGTGTCCAGAGCTCCCCATGCAAAGTGACAGAAACCTCAAATGCATGAGGACATCAGTGAATAGGGACACAAAATTACAGTGGTTTGAGCCTCACGTCCTCCTTCTGTTACAACCTCAGTACTGTAAGAAAGAACTTCCACGCTTGAGACCCATCTGGGAAACAGGGAAGAACAACTTAAATCCCAACTTCATTCCCCTAAAATATGCAACCTAAAGAAGAGTAAATCCTCCCCACAGCCTCTGTCAAAACCCTTCCCTTTAGACTATTACCATGGCAAAGACTCTCATTCAGAAAAGCAAAGGAGTTCACGATCAAAATAACATACAACTGACACTTCCTTCCATTGACTTCTTTAAAGAAAGATGACAAATCCCAGGGTAGTTATGAATTTTTAATTTCACTCTGCAATCAAAACACACTAAGACAACAGTCCACTAAACACATTTAATTGAACTTCATCAAACTGCCTAAATCTGTACCCACATATATTTACCAGAACAACACGTAGTCAATCCTGTACGTCAGAAGAGTTGTCTTTTTGCTGCTGTTTTAAAGCAGAGCACACCATTGCCTGAACTGGGCTTGTGACACAAAATAACAACATCTAAAAGGTAGAAGATCAATGTAAATATTGGTTCTTGACAGAGAAGTGACAGAAGAGGGAAGAAGGGGGTTACCAAAGTCTCAACATGTGGCAGAAGAGAAATCCCCACTGGGTTCCAAGTTTTGAAAAAGTAATGGGAAAGATTTCCAGGACCATTCAGATAGGAGTACTCCTTCTCCACGTACAGCACACACCAAGGTCAAAAGCTGAGTTTTAACTCCTTTTTTTCCCAACAAATCTAAGAAACAACTCTGGATGATATCACCAGATTTAAAATGCAGGGAGAGTATCACAAATTGCTGCAGTGGTCAGGTCAATAGAGCTGATACGCAGGTAAATTATTTGAGATATTTTGGTCGTTATCCATGACAGCACAAAAAAACCAGAATTATCCGAAGAAGCTGCACCCCGTCTCTCTGATCCAGTACCAGCTAGGCCCGAGACAGTGTCAGGACACCGAAAAAAAATGCCCTCTCATTTGCTACACTTCATGTCTTCCCACAGGAACTGGTCTCTTCCTCCTCGTTCTATTTCCTGTACACAGCCCGAGCCCATTGTCACCAGGTGCAAACACACACACACCGACTCACCAGCCTGCGCTGGCCCCGCTCTCGCCGCGGGCAGAGGTGACCTGCAGCTTCTCAGCCTCACCGAGGTGCTGCCCCTGCCCGGGCCCGGCGGATCGCAGAGCTCGGCTCGCACGGAGCCCCCCGGGACGGCGGGTGTCAGACCCACCGGGGCTCCAGCGCTCCCGTCCCGCTGCCGGCGGGGGGATCCGCGCAGCGCGGCCGCCCCGTCCCTCCTCCCTCGCCCCTAATCCCTCCTCCTCCGCCGCGCCGAGCCCTCAGCCCCTCCGCCACCGGGTGCTCCACGCCCGGCCCCCCCGAGCCCCCGCCGCCGGCGCCCCCCGCCCCGCCCGGGACCCCCTCCCCGCCCGGCCCCGCTCGGCCCGGCCCGGCCCCGCCGCGGCCTCGGCCCCGCGCTCACCAGGAGTAGGTCTGCTCCGCCATGGCTGCGGCCGGCGCTGGGCTCTGCGGGGCGGCCGGGCCGGGGCTCCTCCTCCGCCTCCTCCTCCGCCTCCTCCTCGCGGGCTCCCGGGGCTCAGTGGCGGCCCCGCTGCGGCTCCCGGCCCAACATGGCGGCGGCTGTGAGGAGGGAGGGGAGCCGAGGGGGGGTCCCCGCGCGGGTGGGGAGGGCGATGGTGGCGGCGGGGCGGGCGGGGGCTCAGCAGCCGCGACGCGGGGCCGCGCTGGGGCGCCGGCGGGGCCTCATGGCCGGCGGGGCGGCGGCGGCGGCGGCGGCGGCGTCGCGGGGCGGGGCGGGAGGCGGCGGCACCGGCGGCCGGGCCAGGCCGCGCCGCGTGCCCGGGCTCGCGCACGGCGGGGGCGGGGCCGCGCCGGAGTGGGAGGGGCCGCGGGGGGGCGGGGCCCGGACGGCGCGAGGGGAGTCACGTGCCCACAACAGCCTCACGTGCCGCCGCGGGCCGCGCGCAGGCGCCGTGGGACGGGACGGCGGAGCGGAGGGAGGCGGGGGGAAGGGGGGGGGGCGTTGGTTGGCGGGCCCGCCCGCACCGCTGTTCGTGGGGAGCCCCGCGGGCGGGCGGGTTCGCCGCGGGCTCCGGGACCCGCAGGGTCACCGGGTGGGAGCGACGGAGCTGCTCCGGCACGAAGGCAGCGCGGAAGGAGGGTGGGTTTTGAGGCTGGGGGCTTCCCCGGGCTTGCGGCGGGGAGCCGCGATGCTCGAGGTGACCCCCGAGCCGGCGTCTCCTTTCCCGCAGCGGGCACCGGAGAAGCCGCTCCCCGCGACCCCCCGGGCAGTCCCCGGGGCTGGCGGGGCTCTCTCGGCTCCGTCCCGGTGGCCGGCGGTGACCCCGCTCCGCTCGGGGCCCCGGGACCCCCCGGGCTCCTCCCGCCGTTCTGGCTGGGGCCGAGTCCCGCACCCCCCACGAGCCCGTGACCTCCCCAGGAGTTCGGGGGGTTCCTCTGAGGGAGGGGTGGGTGGTAAATGCACCGTTCAGGTAAGGTAGTTCACACACGCCGGTGGTTTAATTTATTCAATACAGAGGTGTTTCTGGAGACTGCCGTGGTTTTGAATTTGTGATCTTGGAAACCAAGCAAAATCAGTAGGATCAGATGCTCGAAGTGGGTTTTTAAGGAAGGAAAATAACGTTCCATGCGCTTTGACCAAATAAAAATATACGTGCTCTGTGTTATCACCAGCCCTGTATCAAACCTGCACAATCCCAGGCAGAGGAACTGCTGCATTTATACTGATCTTGTCTCTCCCGTCCCTGATTTCTGCTGCCAGCCCCTCGGTCCTTCCATGTCTCTCCCAGTGCAGAAGTGGTGTGTTCTGCTCCCACCTCCCGGGAATTTGTCCAAGTGGGGCTTTGTGGAGTTTGGATCCGTTGTCCCAGTCCAGCTGTGCATTCCCATTCATTGTTCCTTCCAGCGTGGGAGGGACAAGAGCCAGTTTGAACATACAGTTGGACATGACGTAACTGCATGGCATAAAAATAGAAGAACAATGCCTGGGTCTGGTAAAAATAGGCATTTGTTTAAAAAAAAAAAAAAAAAGAAAAAGGACAGAGAAATTCTATGCTTTAAGAGAATTTTCCTACAATCTTCAAAAAATTAATGGGACATTGGGACATTCTCACTGCACCTGCAGGGATGCTGGATGCAATTTGGAGCCCACTCTAGTTTATTTCTATTAGTGGATTGAATAAATTAATTCTGTTCTGTCCATCTCATTTATTCTCTTAAATGGAAAAATCTTAGCAGGGTGTGCAGTCATGCCAGAGGATTGAGAATAAGGAGGATCTCATTTCACCTCTGTTCTGTCAGCAGCCACTGTGCAGTCCTGGGTGGATCACTTCATCCTTGCTAGCTCAGCTCCTGCATCATTACAGAGGAAACTGCAACACGTTGCAGCCACCTGAAGTTTTGGGATGCAGCAGCAGGACGATGCTGCACATGCAACACAGGTTTTCTTGGTCTTGCTGGAGGTGATGCCTGGGATTCTTCTATTCCAGATAAACACTGCTGGACTCCCAGGGCTTCTGCCCCTGCATTTTGTGCTTTGACAGCAAGGGATTTGGGCTGTGTCACCTCAGCATCCAAATCCTCTGATTTTCGCGGCCCTTTGGCCTTGTGGACAAGGCTGACCTTAGCGCTCCTGACACAGTCAGCACTTCACCCACTCACTGACATCTGTTTGAGAATCGGATTTATCGGCTGGGAGATGGAAACACTCCAAGGACTGTGACTGGCCAGCTCACAGGCTCCCTGATGGGGTCAGTCCTGGCAGCTGGGTGTGCTGGGAGGACGGGAGGGTGAGGACTGCTGACATTCCCTCTCATCCAGCTCAGGCTGGACTACCTTGAAAAACTTCCTCCCATATTTGATCTTTGCCCCTCGTCTTACACCCCACACAGTCCCCGTGCCCAGCTCAGTGGACACAGAGATGAGGTGCAAGGAGGGAGGAGGAGCCGTGCTCAGAACCTGGAGCTCTGGGTACACAGACAGGCAGCCCGTTCTGGAGGAAATTCTGCAGTTCCCACATTCACACAGAAGGTAAAAGATACTCGGGCACTGGGTAGGACTTGCACAACACAGAACTTCCCTGCTTTTGTTCTCCCTCAGCACAGCAGAAAAATCGACAGGAACACTTCGATAACGACCAAATAATTTGAAATCCTCACTGCTGTGGTGCAAACCCAAGTGCCTGGAATGTCTGTGCTACCCTTTTCATGGATTATAACACAGTAAATGTATGAGGAAAAAAAGAACCTCTCTGTCCTTTTAAATCACTGCAGGGAAAGATAAATCAGGGCTTCAGCCTTGTCTTGGCACTAAAGAGCCCTTCTTAATTCTTTTTTCCCTGAGAATTGGATGTTAAACTGATATTGGTATCTATGAAACAATATCCCTGCTTTGTGTCCTTATTGAAGTAGCTTCCAGTTCCTCAGTCTTGCAAAATTTCCAGCACATTAATTTGGCACAAATGATTTATAGCTGATGAGCAATTAAAGTACAATTTCTTTCAGCATCTCAGGCTTTGTGACTAGACTACTAAATGACTTCTCAAGCTTGCTTTATCGTTACAGGATAGCAGTGGGATGAATTCACAGGAGAAATTTATTCCTCCTTGCAGACCCAGCATCTGCTCTTACTGCAAATTGGAGCACTGCTTGCATTCCCCAGATAATTTCCTCAGCATATCTTTTGTACAGTCTCTCTTTGGACCTACAGGAGAGCTTTACTCTGAATTTCAGCGACAGTTTACTCTGACATTACAAAGTCCTTCCAAAATACCTGTTCTGTCTGGAACCTTTGATGTAGACTGATGCTTTGCTTAGACCTGTCAAGGCATTTCAAAACTAGGAGCAAACAAAACCTCTTGTTTTTTTTCTTTCAATTTTTGTATTTGGAAGGTTAGCTCCCAGAGGCAAGTGTGGTGGAGAAAAATCAGATGAAAGTACTGGCTCCAAGGAGTCCTCACCTCCAAGTTGTTTAAATGTCAGAGGATGACATTTAGCTAACCATGTCTTGATTCTGCTCTAATGGAGGTGGAAAGAACCAGAGTAGCTTCATGTAGACACTTCACCTTTCAGGAAAGGACATGACAGGTAGAGTTGTCAACCCTGCTTGGTTTTGGGAGGAACAAATAGCATGGAAATGAGCAGAAAGGGAAGGCAAAAAAAAAGAAATAAAAATCAAGAGATCCAGTTCTGACTGTACAGCTGGGAGCTACGCTGGGCTGTTAAGTTGTAGGATCCTTGTGGGATTCCCCTCGATAAGCTCAATTAAAACTGCACTGACCATACGTGTGACAGGATTCTCTTCACTACCACCTAGTGGGAAACTCCTTCATAGCCCCACTCCAGAGCTGCTCCCGCTCTCCAGCCTCATCCTGACGGTAAAACAGGCAATAAGTGTGGGGGGAACCGATGGGTGACTGGGAAGGAGGACAGTCCTGCTTCCCCATACAGGGGGAGGAATGTGTAGAGAGAGCCTGTAATTTAACCCCATTATCTCACTGTGACTCCAAGCTCTGCATCCAGCCCAGTTCCTAATGCTTGTTACACCTTCCTTAGTTTCACTGAGACTCCCAAAGTGTAACAAATATAAAGAGTTAAATATCTGTCCTTCTGAATGCAACTGAAACCTGCAAACAGTGGCAAGGAGAAACCCAAGAAGTCACTCCAGTGCCTCAGTCAAAAGGCAGCCTTGCACCTTCTTGGCTCTGGAAGTTTTGGTTGCACTATTAGAAGTATGGAAGGAGGCACCAATAAAAAAAACACAGCTTCCTTCTCTGGAAAATCACATTTTGCAACTACAATCACATATTTACAACAAAACCTACTAAATTGGAAGGTAAATGGATATGTACTTGAAACATTAAACCCATGTATTTGAGCAAGTCCTTCCCCACTGAGATACCTGGGGTTTGCACGAATAGCTGAAATCCAACCCCATGAAAACAACATATAAATGACAATTACCTCAGATTTTTCACACTCCTGTGTGCCTTTTGGGACTGAGCTCCCAAAGCACAACTAATCACCAGTTTCGGTCCTTGCGTAGCTTTCTTCCCCCCAATAACAGAAACGAGGGTGAACATTATCATAATAACTCTCACATTTCAAGGGGGGGATTATGGTAATGTCATTCAGGGCAGTAAAGCATTTAGCAGTCTCAGCAGGAAGAACATTAAAATGGTAAAAAATTATTAATAGAACCGTTTCTCTGTGTTTCTTTTGCCAATGGCAATTTTGCCACCCTATTCAGGGGACTACACAGGCTCCCTCTGGAAGCACTTTTAGCATAAATAAATTTAGGGTTTTTTCCTTCTCTGTATTCTCCTTGAAGCCACATTACACTGGCTTTATCCCAGCAAATTACTGTATTTTTCATCATGTACACTTAATAGTAGGTATTATTCAGTAAATTAAAACATCAGAGGTAAAAACGGTGTTGATACAAGAAACCAGGTGTTGGGAGCCTGTTCTACCTTGCACGCTGTTCACAGCACTCTCCTGTCCCTCACTGGGGCTTTGCCCAAGTGCAACAAGCAGAATGCAGACCAGCAGGAGTAAAATAGGAGTAATGTTCCTACTGTGTACCCATTTATACTTCCATGCAGTTGTTTTCAGTGTTAGTAAGTAATCCATTTAATTAGTAATTCAATATTACATGTAGCGGAGAAGGGATTAATTTGGAACACTTAATCAAGACAGACTATTATTTACCAATAAAATAGAATTTCATTAGAGGAGCCCACGACCATTGCCTAGAAGGATATTGGAGAATTCTGGGAAGCCAGTTTTGTAAGATAGCTGTCACTGGATTGTCACACTGTCTGCTACTTCAGGAGAAGAAAATACTTCTTAAAAAATGCACAGAAGTTATATTCAAGCATAGTAGGAGAACACAAAGTGTTGAACGTATTTAAAAAATCTTTATTAAACTCACCATTAAAATAAAATGGAAATCAGACTTCTTGTGATTACTGATATATTTTTCCAATCTGCATCCAGACTGATTTGTTAATGGAACATTGTTTGTGAGCTTGCTATTAAGCTGGCCAGAATTAATGCTGTAAAACTGCTTATATCTTGTCAACAAAACACTGAATTTGAGGGGTCTCAACCACCAGATTAATTACACCTAAGGAAAACCAAGTGATTCTGCAGGGAAAAAAAGTACAGAACCAAATACTGCAAACAAGCAGGTCTCACTCGGTGTCTCCAAAATTTAAAAGCTTCTCCTGTCACAACTACCACAATCACATTAATCAGAGTGACTGGAGAATCAAGTCATGGCCTGGGAAGTTGCCACAATTCAGGAAAGCAACATATACTAAGCACTGGTAATAGATGGGTTAGCAAACCCAAGACCCCTTATCTCAAATATTCATTCTCAAGGCACAACCCCTGAGTACAATTCATTATAGGAGAACACTAGATTATGGCCAGACTCTGCAAATGAGCTCTTGTTCTACTACTAGAACTAGAATCTAACTGGTAAAAGCTCTGCAGCTTCCACCCCTGACCTCTACTGTTCTCATCCCCTCACAACTGCACATCACGGCACTGGGAAATAGGATATTGCAATCCCTAATGCCAGGGTGTAAAATAGGGATAGTGGCTGATTTGCAGCAGAAATCCCCTCCATTCCTTACACCTGTAACATTTAAGAAACACTGAAGAGCTCACTGGTTTTCCTGCACTGAAGAATCTGAAATACTTAACGGAGTGCTGAACCATTCAGTGGCAGGTTCCACTCAATGGAATGATCCAAGTGGGTAAGTCTGCTGTTCTTTTGCTAATTCCCCAAGGCTCCTGCAGTTTAAAATGGACAATTCTAACAGACCAAGGGAAAAAGCCCCTCAGGATAAAGTGGTAGAGAATATTTACCTCCTCCTTAGTATTTGAAAGGTTTCCATGCTCAGCTAAGGGTTCTCCACAAGGCATCCAGCTGTAGCGTTCAGCGAGGTCCCAGCACACAAACAGATGTTCATTTCTGGGTTTATGGACTTCAGAGTTCACTGGTTTCAAAAAAAAGCCTCTGCAGCTGAAGGTCTCCAAGGCAAGCAGAAGCAGCACCGTCAGGCCTTCTGTGTGTATAAGGAATCCTTGAAACCACACAATATAGACAGATAATTTGTTGCTGTGCTTTCTTCTCTTTACAACTTGCATTGACAAATATTGCTGTTCTTTGTTGAAACTTAATGGTCTGCATCCCCATTTCCCCTCAAGCATTCAACAGGTTTATATACTTACAGAATATAGATTGGGCAATCTTTTCAACAGAACACTGGTAATATTTTCCATCTTGGTTTAGGTAAAAGAAATAACCATGCCAAAGAGAGGCAGAAATGAGTAACACAGTGTGACAGTGTCTCCTCTGGCACATATTGCAAGAGTTCCAGAATCTGTTGTCTCTGTTTGCAAAGTCCTTGAATTATAAGGGCATATCATGCAGAAACTATAATGTCATGGTAGGATACTGTAATTAGAGTTGACAATTACTGTTATCAGCCAGTAATGTTGGCATGTCTAGCAGGGGTGGGGGGGGGGACACAAAGGAAAACGTGATAACAAATGAAATGCATGGAAATGTGTCAAGACATTGACAGGACAATGCCAAGCTCACCATTCATTTGCTCTCTGTTGAGAGCGTGACTAAAAATAAAATATTTAGAAGCTAAACATGTCTTTTTACATCAATGCTCACGTGAAAATTTCTTACATTAAATGTTTTTACGTGGACTCCGAACCGTTACTTCTTTTTAGCCACACAAAGGAAGTCTTCTGTGTCCATCTGAGCTTTGTTAACACCCTGCAGGGAGGCCACGTGGTGCTCTGGGTGCAGCCATGTCTGAAATAAAAGCCAGCAGTTACAGCAGTCCCACCCCAGCCGGCTGTGCCCGAGGGAGGAGGGTCCTGCCCCGCTCCTGCTGACTCAGGAGCCTGGAGAGCGCGGCCGACGGTGCCCACGGAGGGAAAACAGGGGACAAGGTCCTCTGCAGCACTGTCTTGGGACATGAGCCAGTTTGGGGACAGCTGTGCCAGGCTCCTGTAAGCTTAGGTTTGCTGGCAGTGTGTACACACAGGCAGCTGCCCCCAGGAAGCCTCCGCTGAAACAACACCTTTAAATCCTCCAAGGAATCACTCGCGTGAGACGCTCGTGCACATCAAGTCATTCCCTAATTTAGCCACTCAAAGCAGACAGATTCATTCATTTCATTTCAGACCAGAAAAGACAACGTAGTTCTGAGAACTGCAGAACCGCAGAACCGCATTAAGTGACTCCAGCCGAGCCAGGGATGGTGTTTTAGGAAGTCACCCAATAGGTGGGAGCAGAACCTCAGAGCAGGGCTGGTATCAAGAAGGGATGGAGGAAGATGATAAATGGGAACCACAAGCCTGCCCAGAGCACTCATCGGAAGCAGAGGGCAGTTGATGATAGGGCAGGGATTTTGAGCATGAACCAACACCCAGGGCTATTCCTTATCACACCCTTCAATCACCGGCTCAGAGGGGCAAGGCCTGCAATCCCCTGAATTATGTGGGAACAACCGCTCTTGCTCATAAATAAAAATAAATAAATAAATAAATAAAATAAATATATAAAATATATAAAATAAATATATTAAATAAATAAATAAATAAATAAATAAATAAATAAATAAATAAATAAATAAATAAAAATAAATAAATAAAAGCAATAAACATAGCAAGTTAAAATGAAGGTACTAGTGTTAGCACATCAAGATACCCAGTGAACCAAATCCAGAGTGAAAAAGTCACTTAAGATTTGATGCTCTGCCACAGAATTCAGCTGGAGCTCCAGAATGTCCTGCGAGCCTTGGGAACGTTCACACAGACCCCATAGAGTGGTCACACTCCTCTGCTGGGGGTGGCACAGAGGCCAGGGAAGCTGCCAGTGTGGCTTTCTCTCAGCCCAGAGAGCTCAGACTGGCTGAGCTTCCCCACTGCCAGAGCTCCGAGCGGGCTCTGCGATATCCCAACAGCAGCACCTTCCATGAACCACGCGCAGCCCAACGCGGCTCTTCCTTCTGGGCACTCCACCTCCTGCCTTCTCCAAACCTAACGGGGCCAGGAGAAAGCCATGCCTCTCCATCTTCCTGGTTTTCTTTCCATAGCTCACTTTTCCACGCCGCAGACCTCCTATCCTTCATTTTCCTCCCCTGCTTCCCTCCCTTTCCCCCTCCCCCTGCTTTCTCTCCCTCTGCACTTTGTGAACTGCTGCGGCGGTGCTGAAGTCCAAAGTTCAGTAACTTGCTAAGCACACAGATAAATATGAACCTTGGAGAATTTACATTGCTCCAATGTAAACAGATAGCCAAGGGTCCCTTTATCAGCACTGGCTCAGGACAGTCGTGGGGGGTCTGAAGTGGCTCAATTTTGTATTTTGTTTTTTTGGGGGGGGCGCGAAGGCGGGAGGCTGCGCCGTGCCCGCTCCGCTGACAGTCGGGCGCGTTACCCCGGGAACATGGTGTAGGGAAGCTGCAAGCAGGATAACCCGAAAGCCAGGAGGCACCGGGCTGAAGACCATGGTGTCGAAGCTGAGCCATCTCCAAGTGGAGCTGCTGGGAGCGCTGCTGGAGTCGGGGCTGACCAAGGAGACGCTGATCAAGGCGCTGAGCGAGGTGGAACCCTACGGGCTCCAGAGCGAAAGTCAGCGCGCCATCAATGCCCTGCAGACAGAGAAAGGGGAGCCCTGTCCCGACATCCCCAACCTCCCCAATGGAATCGGGGAGTCCAGGTTATCGGAAGATGAAACCTCCGATGACGGGGAGGAATTTACCCCTCCAATAATGAAGGAGCTGGAAAACTTGAGCCCTGAGGAGGCTGCTCACCAGAAGGCTGTGGTGGAAAGACTATTACAGTAAGGACAGATTTACTGCTCCTCTTTGCTGCTTTCTTGCACTCTCCCTCTAAATCTCTTCTCCTTTCCCCTTCTGCTCAGTTCCCTCGTGTTCAAAGTTGATCTACCTGCACACAGAGAGTCTTCATCCATGGCAGGACTAGCAGCCCCCTAGCACCCCCAAATTCCTTATAAATGCTCAAATTTTCCTTTCATCTCCCTTAAATGCGTGAAGGAAGCCACAGAGCCTGATTCAACGTGTTTATAGCATCAGGCTCCAGAATAGTCCAAGGCCTGTAAAACCTGCATCTCTCTGACTGAGTGTCAGGATTTAGGATTTAATTTTTTTAACAGGATTCACAATTTCAATCATCAGGAAAGAAAAAAAAAACAATCGGTCACTGAGCTGGTGCTACATTTGCCTGAGGAGGTACAGCAAGGAGAATTTGTAATGTTTCCCTGCTGTATTTGAGGGGATTAATTCTGTTAATTTCACCGGGGTTTGATTATTGGGCAAAGACAAAGCAAGAGAACTCGTTCTGAGTGCAAAGTTCCCTGACTTCAGTGGGGATTTTTCTGGTAAAAAGAGCACACACCAAACACACGCAAAGGTTAAAACCTGGACAGAACACTCTGTTTCTACCACCCACTGCCTGTCACAGCTACAAAGTACACGCACGGCAACAACTACAGCTTTCAGTGCCACACAGCTCTGCCTTGGCAAAAAGCATTTTTGAGATCAAAAGACAGGAAAAGCTCCCTGAACCAGTAAGCTTCACAACAGACTCCAACACTCTCCAGGTTTCCCATTTGGGATTCTCACTGAGATTACAATTCCCATGGGTGACCCAAGAGGGTTGTCCGAGCAAGGATCGGGTCCATCCTACCATCTATCATGGCAGATTCTTGCCTGTTTTGGGGGTATTTTGAAATGGCAAGCTGATTGATAGAAAACAAAGAGATATAGCAATGTCCTGCACTTGAAATCTTCACTAAAAATCCATCTAGAGAATTTCTCAGGCTTTCTGATCACTCTCTTTCACGTGCAGAGGAAATCAACAGAAAATGTAACAGCACAAGCAAACATTGAATCCCACCACGAAAGGCCAGAGGTAGAAAAACAGCATGACAAGAGGCAGCATCCACTGTAAATACTTAAAAACACCCTCCCTGGCAGACTGAGAGTTGATGACTCTGCAGTACCCAAGAGAGGAAAATTCACTGGATCAGCTCTTACCTGGGTGGGGAAACATTCCCAATAATTCAGTCTTCCTTCTGGCTCAGTATGTCTCTCCTTTCTTCCCCACTTCCAGCTCTGTTCCATCTTTAAGTCTCCCCTGTTCCCTTTACCTCTTTCAAACTCTTTTTACCCATTTCCCTTCTCACTTCTGTCTCTGCTGCTGTTCCTCCCATTTTGTTGTCTCCTTGGCTGATTCTCCCTCTGCCTCCCACTCATTTTCTTCCCTTCATCCTCGTCTCCTTCTCATCTTCCTGAGTCTGCGTGCAGGTCTTGGGGTAGTTTGAGCCCAGTGGCACCGGGCGGGCCCTGGCTAGTTACTAATTATCCAATGGCTTTATTATTTCTCTTTTGTCTTATAAATTTATAGATGAAAAGACCCTGATAAGCTTTTTGATCATTAACTTCTGATGGTTTATCAAGTATCTCTCCACAAAGGAAGCCATGGAAGCTGCAGAAGCCCCCCTGGCTTTGTCCCTTTTCCTGTAGTGAAGGGCTGAGGCAGGACTGAAGTGCCATCTGCTGTGATCCGAGATCAGACACAGGGATGGAGGGAATTCCTTCCTGCCACCCTCACTTCAGCACCAGTTCTGGCTTCTGATCCTCCCTGCCTTTCTAGGATTTTGCTGCCAGTGTGTCCTGTGCTTACTTTCAGCCTCCCCACAAATCTTACCTCTCTTGCAACCCCGTGACATTAATTATTAATACTTTCTGATGAACAGTCTCACAGCTGTCTCCAGACAGTCCACTGAGCAGCATTCCCATTTCATGAATGGCAGTCGAGGGACAGACAAATTCTAGGACCTACCTAACCCCCTGAGACAGCATGCAGAGGGGACTGAGCAAGGACAGGGATCTCCTAAGCCTCACACTGGGTGTTGATTCCAAAAACTTTACCCTGAAACAGCTGAGTTCTCTGTCATCAGTCCCCCCATCACAGGATAGAGCAATTCCCCTCTGCTGTTGAGGGTAGTGTGAAGGCACCAGAAGCCTCAGTTTCAGCAAAAAATGAGAAGTATACTTATGGAGGGATATGATAGGTCTAAATTAATCAAGGTGAAATGAAAACAGCAGGAAGTCTGCACTGACATGTTTCAAATGTCTCCTCAAAGTGACGTGTCTGAGAACCCATTCAAAGCAGCTGAACCAGTAGCAGGGGTTGGGAATATCTAAGAAGTTGTGATCCACTAATAAACTTTTTTTGGTTTTAAGATGCCTAAAGGTAATGTCCTTAAAACAGTGTTAAAGTACCTTAAGGCGGGGCAGAACAGTCTATAATAGAAATTAGTCCCAGCAATAGATAAAAGAGAGGAAGGCAAGAATCTCCATGCCCAAGGAATTCCAATAAAAGGCCAATCCTTGCAAAGCTATTTCAGCATCTACACAAGGGTTTCAAACCCAGAAGTCTGATGAGGCACTTCTGCCTTTAGGCAGAAGCCTCTTTGGGCATTATTAACAATTCCTGGCCTAGTACTGTTGACCAGATTTTAACAGAGACTGACTTGTGGCAGCTACTGCTGATACAAGGAAGTCTTTGTGGTGACTGCAGCCATTGCTTATAAAGTAGAATCAGGAAAGTGTCCATTGTTAGGCTTTCCAGGAGCTGGAAAGGGAAAAAAATGACAGCACCAAGAGACCAAGTATGCCCCACCACAGTATGGAAAGCTGCAGTCAAAGCTGAGTAAAACAGGATGTAGAGAAGGTGCACCTATGGGTGTTGATTAGATCTTGCCCCCACAGAGAAAACATGCTAAAGGCAGTTCAGATATTAACAGGGGAATTAACATATTTTCATTTGGTGCCTTCATATGTCTCACTGATCTTCTGTAAATTTACAGTTTGAATAAAAACATTCTTCCCGTATCAATCCACACAGAAAACAAATTGCATCTGTGATAAGAAATAAATGACTCAGGAGGGAGTTTGAGCTGTGTGGAGAAACTCCCAGGTATTCCCAGAGTAGAAAGCAAGAGAGAGGCTACCCTGGGGGAAGGGACAGATCATTCAACTGCGGGAAAAGCAAATGGAGAGAGGAACAGCAACAATCCACCTGTAGGGCAAGGGGTGAAATTCCATTAGGAAAGAGAGAAATTGAGATAAGCACCAGATTTCCCCTGGAGGCAGGGATAAAAGTGTGTTTTCCAGGAGGAAAAAAGAGAACAAAGATATATAATGATAAAGGTTCAGTCTTTCCCCCCACCTTAGAGTGGGGAATCTGCAGATGAAGCTGCCACACCCCTTTCATTTCCACATATAAACCAAGATGAGGCAAACCAGGCCAAGTTCAACAGAAAGGAAGTGCTGGGATGGATGGTCTTACCTTCCCTCTGTGCCCAGCCCGGCTCCAGGCTGTGCTGGGCTTCTGAAGCAGCTCCTGAGGATGGGCCAGAGGATGGTCCTGAGCACTTCACAGCCCTGAACCTCTGATTGAGCGGGCTCTGGTCCAAGGCAGCAACTCAGAACCCACCTCAGGGAAATGAAGGCTTCTCTCACCTGAGAATCTGAGAACAGGAAAGAAGGAGAAACAATGAGGAAAAGGAGGGGAAAGACAGGAACAAAGGAGAAAGAAAGAAAAGTCAGGAAGAGCGAAGGAGGGAGAAGGTCCCCTGAATGTTACATCTCCAGCTCCCTGGGTTTTCTTTAATGCTAACAACTTGATATTTACTTTCCATTTAAATTTGAGATGTTGCTATAAATTATCAACCAGCCTCTTGTTCCCTTTGAGTTTATAACTAACTACCTGGGTTACTTATTGTTCAGGTAACAAAAGGGAGGTGAAAACGCCCTTAAAAAGTGACCTCAGAACTAAGAAAATGGGAAGCTGACACGGAGAGAGGACCCAGGCCCCTGTGGTGGGGATAAGCCATGGAGAGGGGCTGTGCTCAGATGGCAACAAGCAACTGAGGGCAGGAGAGCAAGACCTCGGGAGAAGTCAAAACTAACTGCGTGAGAAGAGTTTGGAGAGAGAGATTGAGCCTGGAGAACAAGAGATGAATGGGGAGACTCTGCATTTGGGGAGAAAGGGAAGCTAAAAGGCAGAAAACAGGCTTGGAGATAAGGAAAGAGAGCTTAAGGCAGACCCATTTCTGCAGTTCTGCCTCACTGAAGCAGTTCAGAGTTTAGTGTAACTACAAGCAGGAGAACTGGGTTTAGAGTGAAATCCTCCCCTCTGACAGTCCATGACAGTCTTATGGCCAGTGAAAGAGCAAAGGTTTCAACTCATGATGTCTTAGCCAATGGTGGAGGCTCTGCAGGTGGAACTGCGTATTTGGGCATTGGTTCATGAGAGGGTTCAGCTGACCAGCCTGTCATCACCTGTGCTCTGGTGCAGCCTTGGCCCCAAGGATTGCTGCGCTGACACTACAGACTGTGCTTTGACAGCATATAGAGTAGCCAGGATTTCAGACAACTGTCCCAGGAAATCACATTGTTCTAAGATTCCCAGCACTGCTTTGCCTCACAGAGCTCCCTGCTTTGTCCAAAAGCAGACAAAAACCACAGGGCTTGAACCACTGAGAGAAGAGACTCACAGACATTTCCTGCTTTATTCCTACCACAGAGAAGTGAGAATCTCAACAGGGGAGACAAGAGTGTCTCATGATTGGGGTGCAGAAAGGAACCAACATGTAACAGAGCCTTCCATCAGTGGCAACACAGTCTTTCCTCTTCCCATCCCAGCCAGAACTCAAACCTGAGACCAGGTTCCCAGTCAGTCTTTTCTCCTCTATACAGGGACTTGTTCAAGGAGTGCAGGGTGCACGTGCTGGCCAGACCGTCACAAAGGGAGGAGAGTGGTTTAGGCAGCAGGAGTGAGAAAGAAAACACACCAAGAAAAGAAAAGCTTTCATAACTTCAGCCAAATGTGAGGCTTTTGAAAAACAAAGATGGTTAAGGGAAGAAGCTAAAACCCAGAAGTCTCTATGGCAAGTGTTCCATTGTAAAAGAGAAACAAATGTTCTATTTTAAGCAGGTTCTTCAGAAAGCTGTAGCTGACACTGTTTCTATCATACTTTAACTGCAGTGGAGCTGCTCCTTGGACTATCAACCATTGGGAGGCTGCAAGAGAACAGAGATAAGGGTGTTTGCACTGAGAGAACAGGTGTGGACTTTGTCCTCCTTATCACTTTGCAGCCTCCAGCAACCTCCTGAGTCAACAGAGCAACGAGCAGCGCTGTGGTGCCTGTTGCTCAGACAAGTGTGTTCTTGTGACAGTTTCTGCACCATCCCAGGGACCTTTTTTCTGCCCGCTGCTCCTTTGATGTTGGTGTTGAATGTGACACCACTCTGTCCACAGCAAGCAAAGCAGTTCCTCCAGCCCTTTCACACAGAAGGCACAGAAAGATGCTCGTGTTGAAGTGAGCCAGGGGCTTTTCTGCAGAGAGGCTCCTGCGCTGTTTGGATTTACACTACCTGCTTTCACATCTTTATTGCTACTGTGACTGTCAGCTCTGGTGAAACCAATACACACAAGGAAGTCACAGTCACGTTTTCTCTGTTTTCCTTAGGAACTTCCATGGATGTTCTAACTGGAGATCATAAAACCCAGAGATTCACATTAACTATAAAATCCCAAACCACGTTGGCTTCTCAAGTTTTGTGTGCAGGTCTGAAACAGGTCTATTCCCTCAGCTGTTACTCCAAAGGAGGGTGGCAACAGGAGGAATTGGTGGTTTGTCTGTTCTTCTCTGTTGCATTTAGAAGCTCCAAGTGGCTCTAGGTGTGTTTGAATAACACATAGCAGATGTGTAAGAACATAATCCTGGATGACTTGTCACATACATATGCATGCAGAGCTGTCACATCACAGGATAATGACAGCCTGCTTCCACCATTTCCTGAATTATTGCAAGGCAACCCAGCCTGGACCAGAACGAGGGCATGAGCTGGGTTCAGCCTAACATCACAATCAACCTGTCTCAGAAGATTTGGTACATCCACCCCAAGCACCTATGCCTTAAAGAGAGGGGGATAGAGAAGAAAAGTTATGTAGGGAAAAGGAAGGGAAAGGTTGCCTCTGAAAAGAGATCTGTAGTCACAGAACATCCATCTGAATACTGAAATGCAACACCACTTCCCTCCTCATACCATTCCTCACTAGCTGAAAAAGTGCTTTAAATCCACGGCACTTGCCAGGAGAAAGGTCCATTCCTTGCTCACACCACTGCTCAGCACTTTGTGTCATCACAGATGACAACTGCCTAGAGAGAACAGCCCAAAACCGGGTATGAAAATGAGCACAGACAGCAAAGACCATGGCCATGTACTGGGAAATTCCCTTGGTAACTGAAGAGCCTCCTCCTAAGGGGAGATCAAAGTACCTACAAAGAGCAGTTCAAAGGAACCAGTGCTACATCCTCTGCACTTGATTTCCAGTGCCATGCAGTTCTTACCCTGAATGCAGAGTCCAGACTGAACCAGGCACCCCACTGAGGAACTGAGCTTTCCCTCCTGCAGCCAGAGAGCACTCTGGCCTCACCAAACATGCTGGTGATGACAGGCGAGGTGCCCCTCAGGAGGTACCAGTGCACTTCCCGGGAATCCAGGTCTGCTGCAAGCAGCTGTTTGATCTCTCTCCCCTGAGAAGTGTTTTCTGCTCCTTGCAGAGAGGATCCCTGGCGAGTGGCAAAGATGGTGAAATCCTACCTCCAGCAGCACAACATCCCCCAGCGGGAGGTGGTGGACACGACTGGTCTGAACCAGTCCCACCTCTCACAGCACCTCAACAAGGGCACTCCCATGAAGACCCAAAAACGGGCAGCCCTGTACACCTGGTACGTCCGGAAGCAGCGGGAGGTGGCGCA